GCGTGTACCCGCGTGTACGTGCGTGTATATCCGCGTGTACGTGCGTGTACCCGCGTGTACGTGCGTGTACCCCCTCTGTGCGTACATGGAATCGCCGATCTCAGGAACTAGGGCATTCTGCTAGGCTAGAACGGTTTCCTACGATAGAGTTTGGCACAAATACGAAAATAACACGCTGTTTAGCGCACTGCGCTAGGACCTTCTGTTGCATTTTCTCATATCCATAATCAGAATAAGCCCTGCCTTCTTTGTTGATGGACATGAATGGGCGTGACCGACGTTACCAGTTCTTGTACCTACCGTTGTTCCCCAGCCTATTTACTTTAGCGTAAATAATGAAATACTTGGCCGATGCATTTCGCATCGAAGAGGAAAATTTTCCGCATTTTCACTCGCTGTCGGAAGTGAACGAGTGCGTCATTCATTGAACAATTAAGCAAAACATCCCTGGCCAATGTTTACATGCCACAGCGCCATCTCTTGGATGTTTTATAAGTAAATATGGGGATTTTCAATAAAATTATGCGTTTTTAATGTATTTACGACGATTTACATATAGAAACTATATGTTAGTTTTACTGATTTCTCCGCATCTTTCCTTGGAGTTTTCATCGTGTTTTAATGCCTTTCGGTAGATTTTTCTGCGTTTTCTGCGTGATTATTATTTTACGCAGGCACTCGATCATTTTGGAAATCCTCCAACATTTTTACTTCTTCCTTAGTTAAGTTAGTCCATGTTTCACTGTTATTTAGGAAGGAAGGTAAAACTGTGCATTCGTATAATTTCACTCTTGCTTCTATAGTATGATTTCTATCATTTTTCTCTTCTGCCCATGATAATATTTCCCTCATCATAAACCTACATTTTTCAGTTCGGACTCTTATCATATCGTTATAACCTCCTATATCATTAATTAAATCCCCTAGGTATGAATATTTGGTGCATTTTTTGATTACTTGGTTGCCTATTAATATCTCCTTCTCTATCCTTTCTTTGTTTGTGAATTTTATAAACATTGTATTTGTTTTGTTCATATTAAATTCTAATTCTTTTGATTCAGCTAATCTGGAGCATGACTGAGCGATTTTTGTTACTGTTTTATAATCTCCAATTCCTAGAATATCGTCAATATATAATCATTGTCATCTTCTAAAACTACAGACCATCCGCTGACCGCTGCGGAGACGTGCGCCGGGCCTCGAATTTGGCGCACGTCTCAACTGCGGACAGCGCTTCATACTTGAACATCCCCATGGTCGCGTGCGCATATCCCGCGGAACTGCGCGTCTCATCCGCGTGCAGCGCTTAGGATCAACAGCAAAGCTGTGCCATGCAATCTTGTATCATGTTTCTCTGGATTGTCGTCTTGCTGGCATTTCGTTGCTAAGAATATGTTTTAGAATGTCCCATCATCAATTGATTGGCTATAGTTGGCCTGTCAATCTCCCCAGGCATGCATATAGGTCAATTGACACAGATTGAGTAGTCACATGTTACTCGTCATGATTTAAGTGAGTTTTCTCTAGATATTTTTACATTTTGAGTAATTGTAGAGTCTAAGATGTGTTGTAGACGGTAACTCGTAGATAGTAGACGTAACGATGATGCAAACGGTAAACAACTGATAGCTTTATTCTAGCACGGACGGTGACAGTGTACACGTACCAACTCGTAGGTGAGGTCTCTCTCGAACTCACTGAAACTCTCCCTTTTATCCGTCTCTCTCGACCCCGCCACCGCGTTCGAGGCCGTCGAACCCTGTCCGAGCCGTCACCGCCTGTCGTTAGGGTTCCCCCTAACGACATCTGACGGCCCGTACGGGGTCG